GCTGCTACTAATACAACAATTTTGTACATAGTTTTATGTTAACTGTAGGTAAGTGAATAACGAATTTAAATCTCAAAACTACATTACCTTTTATAGGTATCTTTGAGCTTGATATATTTTTGAATACTGGAAACACGGATACTTTTGTTCAAATTAATCATTAATGTTATAAGTACATTAATGATACAGGTAAAATTATACGTTAATTATTGTTCACTTAATTTGTCAATGTCACATTATTTTATATAACTTCTGTGAATGTCAAGTGAATTTTGTTGGGAATGCAAACAATATGAACATACTGATAAATAATTAATATTTATGTTGCATTACACAACAATATAATAAACTAACATATAAAATCAATTATAATTATATTTCTATTTAAACAATTCAAAAAAAAAATTTTGTAAAAGTAATTGTTAGGTTACTTACATGTTTAAACATTAAGTTTCACTTAATTCAAATTATTTCAACTAATAATGCATACACTCAATTCATTAATAGATTAATACAGTTTTTCAACACTATTTATTTGTACCTAATTATTTAATATTTATCTAATTAACTAACTAACTAATAGTAAATATATTTCAAATTGTACGAGTTTCCTTTATGACAATAACTTATAAAATAAACTATAACGATTGTTTTGATTTATTAATTCATCAAATAATTTATTAAAATTTATTTTCAAAAATATCGCACAGTATTAAATATTAAATATTTGGTGTTATTTTAGATTTACCCTTGATGTATTTTGTAGAAACTATTAAATGTTATTATTTACATCATATGAAAACTAGATTTAAATAACATATTAGATATTGAATAAAAAAGATTTTATTTATAAATCAGTTTACTTAAGTATAAATTATAATATAGTGTTAATTATAATTAAATTTTACATATTTTAATATCTGTTATTCAATAAGCATTTTCATTTAAAATGAGGCAACTGCATATTAATTTAATAAACGCACATGATATTACTGTGACCATACTTCTAGTTATCAGTGTATTTATCTAGTATGTATTAATTACTGAACAATTATGTAATTTATGCAATTATAATTTTATTTTTATTAAATGAATTAAAAATTTTGTAATCAATGTATTAAAACATTAATAAAGTTTTTCAAAATATTATATAAGCTATTATTTTAAAATTATATTATAAATTTAAACTTAACAAATTAAATTCTGATTGGTACATGGTCATTTATTTAAATCCAAAGCCTAATGAACCTCCATTTCCACCAAAAAGGTTTCCGGTTTGACCACCATATGAACCTGATCCAGTGCCACTTACAATATCACCAAGAGGATTTACTGCACAGTTACCACCTTGCTCAGAGCCACCTGTTACTTTCCCAAATAAATCTTTTCCGGCTCCATAGACACCTAGATTAAATATAAAATTCATTAAATTATATATTATAATATACTATATGAATAATTAATAATATATAATATACTGTAAAAGTTATAATTAAAAGTAATCTAGCTTATATTACTTATAATTCTTTATGGTAATGTATAATATATTATACTAACAAACCTTTAACAAGGTCACCATTTATTAGACTCCCAATAGGACCTGTATTCATAACTTTATCACCAACTGCGGCACCCTTTCCAATCACTCCCGTTACAGCACCGGTAGCTTTGCCTAACATAGTGTCCTCACCGCCTAACGCACCCTTCACGCCACCCATCGTTTCCCTCAATCCGGCGCCGACACCACTACCCACGGCAGTACCGATAGCACCACTGACCCCACCCCCAGCCACATAATTAACAGCATGGTCAATCAAACTTCCCTTTCCGTCTAAAACACCTGTCACACCGCCCGTCAGTTTACTCGCTCCCACACCAATACCAGTGCCGATACCGTTACCGATGGCACTACCGATGCCACTTAGCCCACCAGCACCACCACCAGTAGCACCGGTATCACCGTAAGCGCTACCATTGGCACCTCCATGATTGTCAGCGCTAAGTTCATGCACTAGCCCGGCACCGGCATGTATAGCGCCTGTAATTTAAGTAAATAGAAGTTATTAAATAGAAGTAATTTTTTGATCTGGATACTTTTGATGTTGTAATTTTAAATGTTAAATAGTATGTACATACCGTTTGCTATTAGGGCACCACCACCACCGGCTAATAAACCTAAACCAATGCAACGGCGCTGTACTACTGCCCCTTGGCATAGTACTAGGGTTGCTACTAATACAATAAGTTTATACTTGTACATAGTTTTAATGTAAACTCTATGTCAGTGAACAATGAATTTAAATCACAAAACTACTGTTCCTTTTATAGTTATATTTAAGCGTAATAATTTTTATATTGATTAAATAAGGAAATAAGAATTTATTTAAATTAATTATCAAGTTACAGGTGCACATGTGCCAGCTTAAATCATATAATAGTAAATGCAGATTTTAAAAAGCAAATTTGTTATTGATAATAAATTTGATATAACTTCTGTCAAGATCATTTTGTGGGAATACGAACTATATGAACATTTTTAATATTAAATAGTATATTAAATGTGAGAATTGATAAATTACAATGTTCAAACATATGATAATTTGTAAATTAATTATAATATAAAACAATAATAAGTATATTATTCATTGTAGACCAAGATGTAAGTGTCATATAAATTAAATTGATTACGACACGAATGAACTTAAAACAAATAACTAGAATATGTGTTTGATATATTATATTGTTTATATAAAATAAATATGTTTAGTCTAGACATATTGTGTCTTAATCTTATAGTGTGAGCCAGAGACCCAGAATTCCTTATCTAAATAGAGAGACAAACCCTTAATTGACTTGTAAGCAGTGGACATAAGTTAACATTACATTAAATTATTAAAATTTAAGATTTCTTAAACAAATAATTTTTCTAAAAATAAAGCTTATCATGCACTATATTAACTTAATTGTGAACTGAACTAACTTAATTAAGCACTATATTAAATTAATTGTGCACTAAATTTAAAGTAGTTAGATAATTCAGTGCACTATTAAATTAATTTTGCGTAGTACTTAGAAGATTTAATGCATAACTAAGTTAATTTACTTCAGAATCAAGTTAATTCAGTTCACAATTAAATTAATTCAGTTCACAATTAAATTAATTCAGTTCACAATTAAGTTAATTCAGTTCACAATTAAATTAATTCAGTTCACAATTAAGTTAATTCAGTTCACAATTAANTAATTATATATAATTTTAGCTTTCACATGCACACCTGTAATTTAATAATTAATTTAAATAAAGGTTTCCTTATTTAATAAAAAAATATATCCGCCTAAATATATCCATATAACTATAAAAGGAACGGTAGTTTTGTCATTTAAATTCATTGTTCACTGACATAGAGTGTATACATTAAAACTATGTATAAGTATAAACTTATTGTATTAGTAGCAACCCTAGTACTATGCCAGGGGACAGTAGTACAGCGCCGTAGCATTTTATTGGCCGGCGGGGGTTTATTGGCCGGTGGCCTAATAGGTGGTGCCCTAGCAAACGGTATGTCTAACATTTAACATAACAATCAAAAGTATCCCGATTAAATAATAATTATTTTTATTTACTTAAATTACAGGGGCTTTACATGCCGGTGCCGCGGCAGTACATGAAGTTAGCGCTGACAATCATGAAGGTGTCGATGGTAGCACTCACTGTAGTACCGGTGCTACTAGGGTTGCTGGTATCGGTAGTGCAATCGGTAATGGTATCGGCAGTGGTATTAGTGCCGGTGTGAGTAAACTGACGGGTGGTGTGACAGATGTTTTAGACGGCAAGGAAAGTTTGATTGACCAAGGTGTTAATTTTGTTGCTGGAGGTGGGATCAGTGGTGCTATCGGTACTGCCGTGGGTAGTGGTGTCGGCGCCGGATTGAGGGAAACGATGGGTGGCGTGAAGGGTGCGTTAGGCGGTGAGGACACTATGTTAGGCAAAGCTACCGGTGCTGTTACGGGAGTTATTGGAAAGGGAGCCGCAGTTGGGGATAAAGTTTTGAATACAGGTGTTATCGGTGGCCTAATAAATGGTGACCTCGTTAAAGGTTTGTTAATTTTATATATAATATTATAAATTATCATAATGAATTATGAATAATATAAGCTAGATAAATTTTAATTGTGACTATTATATATTATAAATTATTAATATACTGTATTATATAATTTGAATTTTTTTAATATTTAATCTAGGTGCCTATGGAGCCGGTAAAGATTTATTTGGAAAAGTAACAAGTGGTGGTATGTTTAATTAATTATAAAGATTTGAAAATAAAAATAATCTAGATAAATATGATTTATTATTATTTTTATTAAATAAAACACCGTAATATTGTATACAATTTTAATTTCATAATTAATTTAGGTGTTTTGGATGCTGGCAAAGGTTTAATTGGGAAAGTAACAGGTGGTTCTAAGCAAGGTGGTGACTGTGCAGAAAATCCTCTTGGTGATATTGTAAGTGCTGGCACTGGATCAGGTTCATATGGTGGTCAAACCGGTAGTGTTTTTGGTGGAAATGGAGGTTCATTAAGCTTTGGATTTAAATAAATGACTATGTACCAAACAGAATTTAATTTGTTTAGTTTATAATAATTAAAATTAAAAATTAGTAGCTTATATAACTTTTTGGAAAACTTGATTAATGTTTAAATACTTTGATTACTTTAAAGTTTATTTAATAATGTTTTAATAAAAATAAAATTATAATCTCATATATAATTGTTGCATAATTTATATATATACTTGGTAGATACAATAAATAAAAACATTTAATAGTTTCTACAAAATAAGTCAAGTGTAAACCAAAAATAACACCTGATAAATTAATAAATTAAAACAATCATTATATTTTATTTTATAAGTTATTATAACTTATAATCATAAAGTATACTTTACACAATTTGAAATATATTTAATATAATATAAATATATTTACCAGTTAGTTAGTTAATTAGATAATTTTATAATTAATTAATTAATTTATCCACTGTTGACCTATGCTTTTTAAATAGGTTATAGGCTTATATGAATAAAACTTGGCAAAAAGGGGCGAGGTGTTTATCATTTGGCAAATATAGTGCCCTAAATTGTAATAAATTCAGTGTATATCTGTTAAAACACATACTTTTAAACACATTGATTTACAAAATTTTAAATCAACTAAAAATAACGATGTAAAATTTTTGAATAAGATCAATTTATAAATGATTCAATGCACTAGGTATTTTATTTCATCATATACTTGACCAATAGTTATGAGTCATTACGCTTATATAGGTACAAATAACTAGTGTTGAAAAACTGTACTTATCTATTAATGAATCGAAATATGTTGAAATAATTTGAATTACGTGAAACTCAATGTTTAAACATGTAAGTAATTTACAAAAAAAATATTTAATTGTTTAGATAAAAAATATAATTATAATAGATTTTATTATATTATTGTGTTATGCAACATAAATATTAATTTATTATCAGTATGTTCATATTGTTTTCGTGCCCAACAAAATGAACTTGACACTGACAGAAGTTATATAAAATAATTTGACATTGACAAATTAAGCGAACAATAATAAACGTATAATTTTACCTTAATCATTAATGTACTTATAACATTAATTTACTTATACTGGTAACATGAATGTACTTATAACATTAACGTACTTTTTAACTGACCCATTTTTATCATTTATAAATATAAGACTGCAGTTCGACTGACCTGGATCGAATGACTAACATGGCTGTTGTAGATCTATTAGAATCTATTAGATATTTGTCTACCGAGCATACTATTAACAGTTTCTCGCCAATGTTTGCCATATAGGATATGGTATGTTACGTGGGTGGGTTGATATCCATGTACACGGGCATGTCTTTGATCGCAGTTTACGACTATTTTATTATGCCCTTGCTTATTATTAAGAAAACTTATATTTAATTGATTATCCAACAAGTAACTATTACTGTAATTAATCGTGCTCACACCAGAGACCCAGAATTCCTTATCTAAATAGAGAGACAAACCCTTAATTGACATGTAAGCAGTGGACATAAGTTTACATTACATTAAATTATTAAAATTTAAGATTTCTTAAACAAATAATTTTTCT